TAAATAACGGATCTGCTTGGAGAAGTTTTTCTTTCCTAATTGGGTGAGGGTCTAGTTCAGAGTCTTATTGGTATGTGTTTGCGATACCTACTGAATGCGTGCATCGTGGGAAATTGGTACATAGACATACTGCACCTTAATCCTTCTCTGCCCCTCCCCTCCCCTCTCTGTTCGTTCCTTTCTGCTCTTCCCTTCTCCAAAAGGTCCAGCTGTTTCTCTGTAATAGATCATTTTAGGGTACAACCTGTGCCATGTTAGCTTCAGACCAAAGGTGTGTCAGGCTCAGCATGGGAGAATTTCATTCTCCTCAAAGATTTCCCGTGTTGCTTGTGTCAGTTTTCTCTTTTCATTTCCCAGGAACTGTGAGCAATGGAGAGTGAAATTAAGGAAGCCCTCAGAGCAGCCATGTGCTTCTCAGAGAGCAACTTGCCACTATGCAGTCCTTCGAGTGTGGAGACGAGAACCCACATACCCCAAGGTCCTCCGGTGCCTGCAGTGTAGGTGGTGCGGGTGCATAGCCCTGGGGTGGTCATGGACCTCAGGGTTCCAGTTTGTTTTATGGCTGTAGCTTTTCTACACCATGAAATGCTGAGGACAGGTCAGATGTTTGCCAGGTCTCTGCATGTGAGCATCTTCGATGGCACATAGGAGGCTTCAACATCTTGGATTTAGCAAATCCATTGTTGTTTTTATAGACTTGAAATGCCGTTTTCTTACCCATCCACATGGACTTGTTGATTTCCTGTAACTGCCGTGACAAATTAGCCTAGATTTAGTGCTTAAAAGGCTACATATGCACTCCTGATTTTGTGGTTCTGAAAGTCTGTGCTGGTCTCAGAGTGCTTAAATTCAGGTATCAGGAAGGCCAAAGGCACAGGGGCCTCTTGTGCTTTAGCTTATTGCCCCTTGGATCAGAATGTGACATTCAAATCTGCTGTCACATCTCCTCTGATTTTGACCTCTTTTCTGATTCCTTTCTTCACTTTTGAAGCCTCTTGTATTACACTGGGGTCAGGTAACACAGGATAATCTCCGTATGTTAGCATGAGCTGATTAGCAGCTGTAATTGCCCTTTGCCACATAATGCAATGCATTTGCATGTAAGGGATCAAGACATGAACAGCTTCAGGTAGGGTTCATTATTTTACCAACTACACTAACAAAATAAAGCACAAGGGTACCTCACAGCCAACCAATATTCACACACACACACCCCATTTTGGACTTTAGCTCTAAGCCAGGTGGGTGACCAGCCAGTGTCCAGCACAGACTCGATGGCTCACCAGGTCTCAGCCAGCAATGACTTTCCTTGTTCAGTCAAGGATGAGGTTCAGTTAGAACAAGTGATTTAGCCTTCACTGGTATCTGCATCTTTAAAATGTCAAGAAAGAGGGTTTAAGAAGATTCACATTCAGTAGATTCTTGAAGGGTTAATGCAGTGATGTTGTAAAATCCCAGCTAAATTTAGGACAAAATTTCCAATGACAGAATCCTTTTATAGACATGAAATAACATTGTAGGTAAAAGAAAATGGCTTTATGTGGACTGTGGTCCCAGTTCATTTATACATTAGTAAAAAAGATCTGAGACGGAATTTGTAAATAACAGAAACAGATCCCCTCACAGCTCTGGAGTCTGAGGGTTCAAGATCAAGGTGCGAGCAGACTGGGCTCCAGGGGAGGGCTTCCCTCTGCCTCCAAGGTGGTGCCCTGCTGCTGCATCCTACCCAGGGAACACATGGTATAAAAGACATAGAGAGGGACAGAGGGATGGATCCACTAATGCCATGCACAAGGGAGGAGCTTTCATGACCTCATCACTCCCCAAAGCCCCGGGTGTTCCAACACTATCACTTGGTGACTAGGTCTCGGCCCGTGAATATTGGGAGTCACATGCATGCAGGCCACAGCACTCTCTTTGGACAGCGGCTTCTTTCAACCCTTTCCATGTAGACTGAAACGGTAGACTGATTGCTATTCATATCCCTTGTAATGGAACCCAACTGTATACATTGGTAGCATTGTCACTGTTTGGGTTACTTTTCTCTTATTGCTCTTGATTTCAGAGGATTTAGTCCATGATCAACTGTCTTCAATATGGTACCCTCATGGTGGAAGAGTGAAGTGAGCAGAGCTGCTTAGTTCATGGGGTTGGGGAGCAGAACAGGAGAACAGTGCCAGAGAGGAAGGACCAGATGTAATACCCAAAATTACACCTCCCTCACCCTCTCAGACTCATTAAGAAGTGTGCTCTACTAATCCACCCTCAGTGGCCTCCCAGCCAATCACATTGACAGGGTTTAGCTTAACCGCCACAGAAAGTATTCACAGACTTCCACTAGACGTAGGTTTTGTTACTCAGGTCTGATGAGGTAGACGCATCAGCAGGTAATTGACATTGGAAAGGTAGTTTGCAACTCACAGTCCCCAAGAGCAATGGCAGCACAGAGCACACCAACATCAGGACCTGAGAAGGAGGGGAGAGAGCAGTGGTGCTCTCAGAAAGGATGGGTGAGGTGATCTGAGGTTGACTGGCAAGCTTGACTCCTCTCTGCAGGCTCTGGAAGATGAGGAAAGGGAAATGATGGTCTGGATGGAGGAGACAGATCAAGGAGGAGGTGAACTCCAGGGTTTGGGACTGGTTGCTTTGCATATGGAAGGCACACTTCTGGGGGAAGAGCCTGCGATCTGCTGGAAACAGCTTGTCTAGGAGAGATCATCTCTCCCAGAACCGAGAGATATAAAGCTGTATAAAACACGGGAAATAAAACACAGGGCTAGGCTCATGAGGACTCCTGGTGCTGACCAGGACTGGCAGCCGCTGGCTCTGAGGACCTTCTCATGCCAAGGGCACAGGTACCAGGATCTCCCATCCCGGATGGCAGAGTAACCTCATGAACAGTTCCTGCCACAGCTTGAGCTGCACCTTCCCTGCTTGTGGGAGGAGGACGACCACAAAACACATAGCTGTCTTCAAAGAAATCTCCACCAACATGTGTCTGTCCCCACATTCTATTTTGGTGTTTAGGATTCGTGAAATATGACTTCCTTTTATAAATTCTGCTTGCACGGAGCTGGCCGTATGTGCTGCTGGGTAAGTGATATCATACTGGAGCACTCATCAGCCTGTTTCACTGGAGCCACAGTAGACCCAGTGGGACACTGATCAGAGCAGAGTGACCAGCAGTAGCCCTGGGGTCGCCGACCCCCAGTCCCTCCAGACTTCTGGGAGCCCGAGGAAGAGGCTAAACAGAAGGGTCAGTGGACCTGTATAGCCCCATCACCCGCCACCTTTGGATCAGGCATCAGTGAGGGATACCAGAAGAGAACTCTTCCAGGAAACCACCCTGGGGAAAGTCTCTCAAAGAGCAGACCCAAAAGACAAAGCTGATGTCACCTCCATTCTGGATAGAGTTAGGATGACTTGGTGATGAGAGGGTAGGCAGGAATCCAAGAACTTGACCTCCGGGGTGGCCGTTGTTTTCCTGTAGTCTGGTCTGTAGAAAGATACTTCCTGGGATGTGCAACATGCGGAGTAACTGCACAAAGACATATTGAAAGGAAAGACACACCTAGAGCACGGGTGAGCTTGAAGACCCCGTGCTAAGAGAAAGGAGCTGGACACAAAAGCCCGTACATTACAGAAGTCCAGTTATGAGAGGTGTCCAGGAAGGGCGATCTGCTGAGACAGAAGCAGGGCAGTGGCTGCCGTGGGATAGGACAGGGGAGAGGAGAGACAGACAGCTCACTTGGCACAGGTGCCCTGCTGGGATGATAAAAAGGCTTCAGGACCAGACTGTGGAGATAGTCTCACTGTGCCACGGAAGTGTCACGTGCGACTTTGCATCAGGGTGGGAGAGAGAAAGAAAGAGAGAGAGAGAGAGAAAGAGGGAGACTGAGGGGAGAGGCCCCCTCTGTTGCTCCACATGGTAGGAGCCATGACCCATGGCCCCAGGGGACAGGCCTGGGCTCTTGGAACAGCCACCAGAGACACAGCACAGGGACACAGAGATGTGGAGTTGGTGAACACCCCCTCAGAGGCTGGCCTCTGGGGCAAGCAGGTGACTCTTCGATTCCAAAGCCCTCACTGGTTCCTTCCCCACCAACCGCTCCTCTTAGCAAACCCAGCTTGCCAAGAAGCATTTATTCAGATTTCAGCAGGCAGGATACTTTTTCCTGTCTCCTCGAGAGTTTGTACCAAAGAGCAGAACTAAGGGACAAATCTGATGTCACCCCCATTCTGGACAGGGTTAGGCTAATTTGGTGATGAGAGAGGTGAGTAGGAACACTTGTGAACAGGACCTCCGGTGTGGTTGCTGAATTCCTGTAGTCTGAACTTCTCCAAGGCATTTCTCAGGCACAGGGCAGGTGTCCTGCAGGAATCTGGGAGCAGCTTCCCTGAAGTGAGGAGGAGCTCTTGTGGCTCACCTGACCCCAGCAGGAGACAGACACAAAGCAATCGCTGCCTCAGACACCACACCACGGACTGAGCCTGGTTTCCCTGAGCCTGACAGCCACGGCCCTCGGCCTCCTTAGCCCTCCCTAAGATCCTAAGGGAAAATCCTTTATGACAGTCAGCTAGAAATCAAAATTAAGTTTGCAATGCATGGTCAGAAGGCCCCACAGGAGAGAAAAAATGAGGACCCACAGGAAATGGTTCTGGGTAACTATGATCTCAGCGATCCCAGCTGCTGGGAAAGGAAGGGGTTACCGGGCTGCAAGGAGACATTAACAGTGAGACAGGAGCAGAAGTACCGCCCTGCAGCTCACAAGCCCGCCTTCCAAGGGACTGACACAGGCGTACATGCACAGACACATACACACAAACATATACACACACATCCATAAACAGACATACACACATGTGCACACACACACATTCACAAGCACACACACATGCACACATACACATATGTATACACACATGCATAATGCACATGCACACATGCATACACATATGTACACACACATACACTCACGTGCACACAGAGCCATCCCTTGTTGGAAGAAATAGGCATTTCTATCAAATGCTGAGATTCCTACTGACTGTATTCTCTCCTTTATTCTGTCTCATATATCATTGCTTTAATTTTTTATTTTTTCCTGTATCTGCAATATTTCCCACAACAAACGTATATTCTTTTCCCAAAGAGAAAAGCATCTCAATACTGTCTACAAGGCTACATGAGGGTGAGTTCCTAAAAGTAAGTTCTTCATAATCTCTCACCTTTTAAAAACATCTTTTAGCATGTTTCAAAACATCCGTCTCGGGGAGTGACTTCCTGGCCAGTCTCCTTGGAGGCGCTCACTGTGTTCTATATTCTTGGGTTAGTAACTGTCTCAGGCTGGTATTGATGTCAGTACAGAGTTCATCCCGAAAGCCAAAACGAAAAGGAGTGAAACATTCACTTTACCCAAACCGACAGTCTTCAGCCTCCTGAATGGAATACACAGAAACTCCTGTTTTGGACTGCAATAAATGAAACCATAAATCTACTGAATGCAGAAAGCAAAACACACCCTTGAATGTGCATCTAGATTACCTGAAGTTCGAGGCATTTCTCTGATGAACATCACAGGGATTGTGACATCCTTCTCCACCACAGAAGGACCCCGCACACCCGAGTATCTTATGATGAAGTTCACACTCAGCACTTTCCTCTCCCAGAAATGCCTGTTCCAAATTTACTGTAAACAAAACATTAGCCCCACCCTGTCTAACAAGTATTTTAGATTTCCTCTAGAGCTTTCAAAGGTATAGATTGTCCTTGATGTCCAAAACCATCCATTTTACTCCATGAGAATAAAAGGGACTGACAAAATTTGTCTTTTGGCAAAACAAACCCAACTGATGAAGATGATGATGGAGATGATGAAGATGATGAAGATGATGATGGAGATGATGAAGACAACGGTGATGGTGGCGGCGATCACAATGACATAAGTTGGGTGATCGGCAAGGAGAAAACCGCCCTCTTGCTGTCTCCAAGGGACCCATCCTGACCCCCCACCTAGAAGCTAAAGATCTTAAAGTGGTTGGTTTCAGACCTGAAGTCTCACCCTCCCACCTCCACCACCCAGGCTCCCTTCTGGAGGAGAAAGGGGAGGGGAGGGAGAGGGAGAGAAAGAGGGGTGGGGTATGGGGAGCCTGGCTCCTGTCCTGGGCACCCCTGAGCCCCTGAGCGAGCTGATCCTCCTGCCAGCTGCTGTCTCACTGCCCCGGCCACCCCGGTCGGTGGGAACTTGGAGGCTGCTCCCCTCTGGATTAGTGCCATCCTGCAATGACAAGGGAGCAGTTAATACTCACATCTGTGCCTGAGGCTGCAGGGCCCTCTCTCACCATCTGTAGCTCCCTCTGCTTGCTTGAGAATCCTCTTGAATTCCCTCCTCTCTCCCCCTGCACCCCAGAGCAATGGAGGGGGGTCTTTCTGATCCTCTCTACCTCCAGCGCCACCTTCTCCCTCCATCAGTTACCACACCTGCCCTGCTGTCAAATTCACAGCACCCCTTCCTCCCTGTCTAGTTCATCCTCTCCACCAGACTAAAGCTAGCAGAGCTGACCCTTGCTTGGTCCCAGCCAGCCCACAACCTAGGGCGCCCTGCATGAGGGAACACGACCTTGCTGTGGTGGTGTCCTGTGGGCCCCGCTTGCTGTTCCAGCCATGTCTGTTTGGCCCGATCTTCAGGCCTGTTTCCCAGTTCCTCACGCTCTTTGCACCGGCAACCCCCTGCCTTACAATCCGCATGTAGAATCAGCGGGGCCTGGCGAGAGAGTGTGAGGCACCTGATTGGAGGAAGCTGTTTGAGCTGGAAGGTCAGGTGTGCAGAGACCTGGCCAAACCACTGGAGCTTGGTTTGGGTATGGTGTATTTAAGGTGTCAGAGTGACCTTCACGTGCTTCAGATCAGAAGCAGCGTGGTGTTAGCAACCTTCCTGGGGTATGAGGTCTGCTGCCCTGGGAGGTCTGATCTGCTGAGAAGTGCAGATTTGCAGCAAGAGCCTTTCTTAAGAGTCCACATGGAGCTGGGTATTATGTTTTGTTATGGCTTAGATCTCAAATATTCCCCACAAATTTTTGTGTTCAAAGTGGGGTTTTGGATCATGGGAGTACGATACTTTTCCATGAATTCACCCCCAAGGAGTTCATTGATGAATGTGCCACTGGAGTGGGGCCTGGGTGGAGGTGGTCATTGGTGTGTGACCTGCAAGTGCAGGTCCCTGTGTCCCCCCCTCTCTGCACTTCCTGGCTGCCCTGAGATGAGCAGCTGCCCTCTGCCGGACCTTCCACCACGGAGCCAGCCAACCATGGACTGAACCCTTTAAAGCCATGAGCCAAAAAGGAGTCTCTCTTCTTTTAAATTTTGGGTGTCAGAAACCCCATCCCAGTGATGGCAAAGTGACTGATATGTGTCAGTGCAAAGCATCCTGTGATGAAGGGTCACTTCGAATGGGCCCATAACACCTCAGATGGGAGAAAGTAATCACTAACATTAAAATCCAGTTCTTAAAGCAATATTTGTCTAAGTATTTCTGTTCACAGTTTCTTAAATTGGCTTTCTTTCATAAGTCTCAGTTGTGTCCTATGGACAAGAATGACACCATTGGGTGGAGGACCAGGTTCCAGAAGGTGTCCAGAGGGCATGCCATCTTCAACTTGCTGCAGAAGGCCCTAGATGCGTGCAGTCTCTGCATCAAGGGTGGGAACAAATCCAGCAGTGCTGGGCACATTGCTATGGCTTGGATATATCTCCCAAGGAAATCAGGTCTTCACCACAGCAGTACTGAGAACTGGGACCTTCAGGAATTGATGGGGTCATAGGCTTCTGACCTCATGATTGGCTGAATTCACCCATCAGTTATCACAGAAGCAGCTTTGACATAGAGGTGAGCTCTCTCTAGCTGGTTTCCTCTGTCTTGTCATGTGACGAAGGGGCCAGAGGTCCTCACTAGATGTGGAGTATGATGCTCTTGGACATCCCAGTTCCTAGAACTATAAAAACAACTTTTTTCTTTATAAATTACCAAACCTCAGGTAATCGGTTACAGCACCAGAAAACACACCAAGGCACACACTTGTCCATTCTTTTTCAATTAGGCCTCCATCCAGTGACACCAGGCACTGGTCTGTGCCCGGCCATGAAGAGAGGGGTACAAGTGCATTCTCTCTATGAGAGGAGCAGGTGGGTCCCATCACAAGAAGAGAAGCAAGTGGGTTTAGGGCAGCAAAGTGGGGGGAAGGAGGCTGACGGCTTACAAATCTCCGCTTGTTCCCCAGCCCCACCATGGGGCTGTCCACTTTGCCTGCTCCTTTGCCCAGTCCCTTTTCTACCTGGTTAAATCCTTTTCATGCTTCAAGACCCAACTCAGCAGGTGCCTCCGCTGGAGGCCTTTGTTGGTTCCACTTTAGCATCCACTTGGCTAAGCACAGTGTCCCTGCCCCCAGCTTGCTCTGGGGAGCCCTGTCACAGCCCTGTCACGTGGCTGAATGTTTCTCCTGGTGAGTCTGCTCCTCACCGGCTGGTAATCTCTTGGTGAGAGGCTCATATCTCATTTCTCATAATTATATCTGTAGTGTCCAGCCCAGCACCTGGCAGATAGGAAGTCGCTGATTCAGTTATTCAGGAAACTCAGGTCTCATCCCTGGTGGGGAAAAAATATACCATTTTAATTTCCTAAATTTAACAAGTCTGACTTGTCCTTGAGCCATTTTTTAAATTCAGAAACCTTCTAGTTTAGCTGTTTCGATGCACTGCCTCCAGAGGAAACTGATCTGGACTTGGCCAACAGCCCCAGAATAACTTCTGTGACTATATCACACTTTAATGGTTAATTTTGGAAATGTGTTATCAGATACTTAATTTCCTGCCCATCTGCTTTTCAGGCTGAAATATTTAGCAAACCATATTTTAAATTTGACCACAATAATGTATCATTGATATGTCATAAGTATTATTACAAGCTAAATGACATACTATGTATAAAAGTCCTCTAAAATACATGAGCACTAACATAAACAAAACACGTTGTTACTAGGGGTGTTGTCAGCCTTCTTTAGTAAGGCAGCATGGTCCCATAGCAAACCGAGAATCTCCAGAAGTCAAGAGTTGATGCACCTCCATAAGTTTACCAGCGTGTAACTCAGGCAAGTAATGACACTGTTTTGAGCCTCTGTTCCCATCTAAAGCAAATGAAAATCCAAGATTTTGCTGAAAACAAAATGTGCCAATGTATGAACAAAACCTGGAGGTCCTGAAGACATGGTACTAGTGATAGTGATGTCATTGGGATGCTGATGGTGCTGGCATGGAATGGATGCTGGGATGAGGATGATGTTGGGATAGGGGTGATGTTAGGATGGCAATGTTGTCAGCCATTGGAAGTGGTGATGGTGTAGGTGAAGGATGGTACTGATGAGGGTGAGCGTGATGGTGCCAGATTAAGGATAGTATTGGGACCATGATAAGATTACTGACAATGAAGGAGATGAAGACTGTGTTGGGCCGAGAGTGGTGCTGTAAGGGTGATGGTGCTGATATGGTGATTATTTTGGGATAGTGGCTTAGTTAATTTTCTCTCATTGCTGAGACAAAATATTCAAGATCCAAAGTTAAAGGAAGACAGGTTTATTTAGCTCATAATGTGTGAAGGTTTCAGGTTATAATCACCTGACCCCAAGGCAGAGTAGAAAAAGAACAACCATTCATGGTTGTGAAAGATGGCAAAAACAATATGAAAGACTTTCTGTCTCCCTTATATTGTGTGCAGGCTGCCACCCTAGGACAAGTGTAGCCTTCAGATCCTAATCCCAGCGTTAGGCGATGAATCAATCACAAATTCTAGATTTAGCCACCTCACAAAGCCCATGCCCCATGACTGCATGAGGCCTTGGGGGGGACATCCAGATGCAAACCATAACAGAGGGTAATGGTGTTGGGGTGGGGGGATGCTGGTGAGGACAGTGGTGTTGGGAATGTGATACCGTTAGTAATGATTGTGATGGTGTTGGGATGGAGATCGTGTCAGGATGTGTGTTGTTACTGCTGGTGATGATGCCGTAATATTACTCATAGGGGTGGTGTTGAGATGGTGGGTCTGAAAGCTGACAGATTGCCATGACAATTTGGAAAGCCTTACTCGTAAGAAAGGTGTTCAGTAAATGTATTCTGACTGAAAGATCCAATAGTGACGTTGGGAGTTCTTTTCCTGTATATTTCACTTTCTCAACAGTAAATGCAGCAAGTTCTGTAGTGCATGGCATTATCTCTGTTCAAACCACACTTCCGTAACGTGAAGTGAATGTTGACTTTTCAGGGTTTGACCTTCCTTCCTAGTAATGATCAATGTCCATATTTCAACCAAAATTGGTCTTTAAATGTTTAAACTTTGGAATATCTTCACTTGTCTTCTTCATTTCAGCCTGCTATGGTCTCACCTGTGCTGTGACCCCTGTTACACAATCCTGAGGGCTTCTGGCTCTAACCCAGGGAAGTTCTCTACCTCCTGTGAGCTGCTTTGCTCTCTAATATTGTAAGACGGCTGCTCAAGAGGAGCCCCTGACCCCGTCCCTGAAGCATCATTCTGAAACAATGACTAGAAGAAAAGTCCTATCTCAGTTCTAAAATTAGAATTGGTCATGCTTAATTAAATCTAGACTTTGGCAAAGAAGTCATTTCTGCCTCACAGTTACACCCTGGGAGTAAACAAAGAAGTCATCAAGACTGTGACTCTCTCTTGGCCAGACTGGAGAGGCCACTGTCTGCATCTGTGAATCGGAAGGAGAGCCTGTCCCTCGCCAGCTGGTTATCCCCACCGAACACCCACACCACGACCAGCCAGTTTTCCCTTTCTTCCTCCTCTCCCCAGTCCTTTAGCAAGGTCCCAAGTCATCCCATGGATGCCTGTGTAGGAACAAACTCTGTTACATCCAGAGGAGGAAATCACACGGGCAGTGAAGGCAATGTTCTAGTTTCATTATCAAGGGCTTAAGCATGCACACATGGGCATTTGTTTCTGTAGAGCGATTGTCATTTCCATGACGCCCAAACAAAGCATAGGGCCCACCAAGCAGGAAGATTCCACTGGAAGTTGGTTCCATGACAGACTCCACTCCCAGACACAGTGTGGGTCAGATATCTGAAAAACATCCATGTGTGAGGTCTTGTTCTCAGTGAGATCTTACTGCATGCACAGAAGCTTTTGCAATATCGACTGGCTTCCTTGAACTTGCTTCTTAAGAGCATCATTTAAATTAAAACCATAAAACTCAGCTTCCAGTACCACAACTGTAGAAAAGAGACAATATGCACTCTCATTTTGGAGGCCCTGCACCTTGACCAGTACCTTCCAAAGATGCCTCCTCAAAATACCCTCAACGTGTGAATTTGGGGTCCAAGGTCCAACAGGAGCTGAAATGGTGACACTAGGTCTGGCCAGTCAGCTCTCACAACAACCCTCTCTCCCAAGAGGGGAGAACAAGTATGGGGGCGCACACAACTCAGCGGAATCAACCACAATCCTACACAAACACTGACACCTCCACATGGTGGACTGGCCTGGGCTCTCCTCCTGTAGGATTCTTGAGCTAGGGTACTTCTATAATCCCAGCACTCTGGGAGGCTGAGGCAGGAAGACCACAAGTTAGAGCCTGGCACGAACAACTTAGCCATTTCACAGGGTCTTGTTTGAACAGAAAATATCAACCCCTCAGTGTCACAAAAGAATAAGAATGACAGGGAGAGTCGGGGGCAACGCGGGAGAAGGAGACCCCCTGTAAGACAGCAGTTGCCAGGGACCACTTGAGACCATGTTCTACTGGAGAATAAAACTATTGGGAAGAGCAGAGCCAAAGGATGTGGCAGAGACTGAGTTCAGACAAGGTGTTTGGCACCTGGGCCCTGCTGGGTCTGAGATTCAACCCTGTAGACTGGTGGGAGGGTGGGCATTCTGTCCCTGTTGATTTGCGTGGGATTGGCTGGACAGTATCTGGGTCAGTGGGAACCGAGAGGGTCCAGACCCACAAGGCAAAGGGAACCCGGACCTCTGCACCCCATCAGCACTTGCTCCTTGGGGGAGGGGTGTTCGTCTCCTGTGCTTTCTTTCCTTCCTGCTTCCAGCAATTTCACTGTCAGCGACAGTCCCTTTCCTTCCAAATCCAGAAGTCCACAGTCAGGCTGTGTCTGTGACTAACTTCCCCTTCCCCAAGGGATCACCGAGAACACCTGGCTTCAGACACAGGCTCGGGGTTTACCGTGCTGTGGTGTAGACGGCGGTCTGGCTGTTTCCTCCGGGTGAGCAGACCCGGAGGCTTCCCTCCTTCAGAGAGAAGGTCACCAGGGAATGGCATCTGTCTGGGGCACCTAGGCACATCCAGAGCTTAAATTTGCCTCATCCTTTATCCACCCCGGGTTATGGTAGAGACTAATGGATCAGAGGTGTCTAATTCTATTCACAGATGCAGGGATATTCCCCACACTTCTTGTAATTCTTCATATTTTCATTCAGGCTTCTTCAGGGAATGAGGAGGCCCAGCGATTTGCTTCATAGCTGCGAATAAAGATACAGAAATAGATAACATAGGGAGTGAAATATTCACACTGCGTGTCTGAAAAGCCATACCAGCAGGTCTGCCCCTTTAATGGCATCTAACAAAAGTGGATACATTTGGACATCAGTGAAATCCCTGTTCTCTTAAGATAAGCGGTGGATTGTCTTAAAGACCATTGAAGTTATTTCGGTATATGTATAAGGCCACCACAATCTCGGAATAAAAGAAATCCACCTTCAACTCAGTCATGGGATTGAGAAATATTGAAAGTACCCAGAGAGGGTGGATTCTGGGCTCCACACCACTCCAGGAGGGACTCACCTTAGGGACTGCAGAGGAGGTGTCCAGCAGGAGGTCAGAGGTCTACCATGTCTGGCTTAGGCTACGGAGACCAAGACCTTCAGGCCGAAGGATGCACTGTGAGAGGGGGCCATCGGCAGAGGAATGTGCCATTCAAGTTCCAAGGCAGGAAGAGGACAGTCGGCGAATAACCTTGAATACGCAGCAAAGCAACCCAAACTTCACTCCTCTTGGGATTGAGGAGCCACTTGGGGTGTGGGGTCCAAGTCTGCTCAATGATGGTGCTGTAGGAAGACGGATCTGCCGCAGTGGACAGTAGATGCCAGATGCATAAGAAAGGATAGGGGCTCACCAGACCTAAGTGGCCAGTGGGTCAGTTTGGTAGGCACACAGTTAGATGTCAGCAGGTCCGAGGCACAAATGGGGAGTCTAAAAATAGCGTGCATTGCCTGTTAATTACAGAAGTACTTTGCTGTGTATTTATAGTCATTCATCAGGGTCTTGAGTCTGAGACAATCCCAGCACAATGACATTTTAAGGTTACACACTGCACACAGCCCTTCAGGTACTTGGCCGCCTGGCTGTCTATTTCCACAGCAAGGCACTTGGCATTCCTGGTGCCATGGCCTTTGCCCGTGAGATCAGGAGAGAACTCTTTCTAAGGACCTCCCTCCATGGGCTGAAACCTGATTTAGACTGATTACACGATCAAGTTCCCTGAGGGAACACTGACTGTCTAAAGGAATGAGGAAGGTATTTTTGAGTTATTAACGTTCCAGAATAACCATGAAAAGAAATGGCGATAAGCATTATCATTTCCTAGTTCCCTGAACCCCAGAAATAACTCAAGGGTGCAAGAAAAGGTACCAAACTCTCACTCGGGCAGAGGCCTTTGTGGCATTCTCTGCCCTCTCTCGAAGGCATAACTTTCCCTGCACCTACTTCACAGGAAGCTCTACCTCGACTTCTGCATGGCCTGTGTGTGTTGACTGAATTATTTTATCAAAGGCACAAAAAATTGAGGATCAAGAAAGTGAGGGCCGGTTCCTCACTGGGTCCTGACCAAGCTGCCCAGTAAAAGCTGGACAAGTCCTGGCTAGACTCGTGAGGTGGGGCACCCTAGCTCTATGGCATGAGTTAGTTTCTTTAAAACACAGGCATTCTTTCGAGGGGGAGAGTTTCTGCTTGAGCTCCTAGAGATGGAAAAGGGAACCAGAGAGGGGAGCATCAGGGCCTCTGTTCCCCAGACCAACTCCAGGAATCAGCTGCAGGTGGCCCACAAAAGGCCTGCTTCTGGAGGGCCCGTATCAGGGCTCAGTGGCCCCAGCCCTCAGGTGAGCCAGGATTGGAGGAGGCAGCCAACTTCCTGCTGCACCTGCACGGGACCTCCTACCGAAGAGGATCCGGGTCATGTGGGCCAGATGCTTGTGTATTAGGGACTTGATTTTAGGAAAAGATTCAAAATTACATTGCAGTGAGAGGGAACACATATTTTAAGTGAGAAATATTACTATAAATTACTATTGTCAAGTAACTGCATGCAGTGCAAACATCACATGATCCAGGGTGACAATATTGTGGGGTTTTTTTCTTTTTGGTACCAGGAATCGAACACAGGACCTTATACTTGCCTGTGCTTATGTAACTGAGCTCTATCCCCCACCCAACAATATTTTATTAATGAGCTACCAGACACACTTGTACAATGGTGTTTTGTTTTCCAAAACTTTTTAGCTGTCTATACTCACTGCTTTTGAATCTGTCAACAAATTGATAAACCATTTTCTATAGAAAGCAAAAAAGCTAATTTAGTCTTTGTTTTAGTACAGTTCAAGGAGACTTGTGCTGTAAGACACCGATAGTTTAAGAAAGTTTCTTTCAGCATTGAGAATCTTTACGGTAAAGTTGTGGAAATTTTAAAGAACGCTATCAAATACGAGGGAATTTCTGTAAAATGTATTTCATATATGACTTATAAGAAAGACTCTGGGGCATTTTGATGTTCCTAGTTGTTAACATTTTTAGCTTTTATTATTTTAGTTAAATTGACTGTACACTTTTGCTCTACAGAAAGATCACATTCATCGTAGAGAATTTGTACCTGTATATAATATATCTTGGTTCTGCTTTTCCCCGTTCCTCCCATTCCCTTTAACTCTCCCTTCCCTCTTCACTTACAAAAGCTCTGTGTCCACTTTTTTCTCCTCCCTTTTTATTTCCTTTTCATTTCCCCCTCCCTCTTCCCTTGTTCCCCTTCCAGTTAACCATCTCCTTCCTACTTCCCAGGATCTCTCACCCACTGGGGGCCTTATTTATGCTTTTGGTTTCTCACACGTAGAACAGTGCGATATTTAAACTTGTGTGTGATTTATAGTTGAATTAATGACAGTCATCACCTTGTCACTGATATACTTGTCACAGTCATACACTGTTATCTCCACTCATGTTGGTATTTCACATCAAATCAGCAAGGCATGAAGAAGACCCCGCGGAGCCACAACTGGGTGAGGCCGTTTCAAGCCAACACACAGCATGAGCAACATTCTCTTTGCCAGGAGGGTTCAGGAAAAGTGAGACATCCATCCAGCCCGCTAGAGTGTGGGCACGCAAGACACACTGTTACTCTTTAAATTAAGAAATCAGAGGTGCCTTGGATACCTTATTGTTGCTGGGACAAAATACCTGACACCTACAAGTTAAGGGAGAAAAGGTTTATTTTAGCTCACTGTTTGTAGAAGCTTTAGTCCATTGTCAGCTGGTTCCAAGGCGGAGCAGCAATGCAGAGATGCATGACAGAGAAGAAGCAGTCCACGGCAGGCAGCCAGGAATTAGCCAGCAGTGAGCTGTTCTTATCCTTGTTTATTGCATTCAAGCTACAAGCCTATTATGGGTGCCACCTGCACTCCGGGAAGGCCTTCCTGTTACCCACACCCAGAATGGTGCTAAATCAATCGTGGACTAACCCAATTACCACACATCCATAATCCACTATCACACACCTATGATCTAGCCATTGAAAAATTACCATCTATGAGCAGGTGTTTGGGACAGAACATTTCCATATAAGCCATAACAAGAGGAGTATTTTTGACCCAAAATATGAAAGTCAGCACTAAGATTATCATTAACATCAGACTAAGGAAGGTTTGGATCTAACTCTGTCAGTAGTAAATTTAAGAACCTTGCTAAGAGTAATTTGATTCCATATGGAAAATAGAATCAAAATGAACCCACACTCAACTTTGATGATCCTTGAAGTCCCCGCAGACTCTTGATATGCCACTTGGTATGCAGGGAGTGTGTCACAAGAAATGCCTAACAACAGAGATACAGCCATTTAACTATTACCATCTCTTAGCTTAGCAAAACTTCACATCTATACAACCTTGTGAATGTAACACTAAGGCCCTCCGGGACCTTAGAGAGAGCCCCACACAGGCAAAGTCCACTTTCATTTATCTCACAGTGAAGTCATTCGGCTACACAGTTCTACCTGCCACGAGGCCAGGAGACAGATCTACTAAGGTGTGACTCATTCCCTGGAACCACGTGAGCGCTGGAAGGGACCCGTGGGTGGACTGCAGTCCCGGGTTATGCAGATGGAGGCTACAAGTCAGAGGCAGTAAAATATCACTGAGCATATGAAACTCATAGAAATTCAAGATACAATCACAATAATCCTAGTGATGACAGATGAGAGTCTGATGAGAAGGATGAAGGGTGTTTCATAGCTGGGAACCTGGAGAGGGCAACGGATTTTGTTGCCAACAAGTTGATGCTTCCAGCACTAACAGCTCAGACTGTATTCCCTTCTTACCTGTTAGCATTGCCAGGGTTCTGGGGGAGACGTGAGAACAGAGTTGTTTTTTCCCATAAAGCACAGGGTCAGAAGAGGACTACAGTGCCCACTTCACTAAGGAAATTTGGAAGATACGATCTTAGAGGATGAAGGGAGCCACAGGAGAGATGGAGGGAGAAAAGCTTTGGCTGGTGTCAGCAGAGAGCTCACCAGGAAAGTAAAACAAGTCCCTGGACAGCCAAGAATGTGACCGCAAGCCACTAAGTCCTCCGATGAAATGGATATCTCCTAGAATCTTTCTTTTGCTGTGCCTATAAGGTTTAATTAAGGTCTGAGTAGTAAAAATCCTCAACTTGACAAAAAGGATTGCTGTAACTAAATGACTTACACTAGGAAATCCCGGGTCAGGCCCCTGTTCTAATGCTCAGCCATCCCTTTCTACCTTCTCCATATTCTAATGTCTTCCTTGAATTGGCTTCCCTCAAGATGTAAGATGGCCATCCCTAGGATATAAGATGTCTGCCTTTAGCATCTAAAATGGCTGCCCTCCACATATAAGATGGCTGCTTTATGAATAAATTGGTTGCCTTCAATAAGTTCTCATAAAATGGCTGCCAGTGACAACCAACTATACAAGGTTTTCATTCACATTCAAAGAGAAAGAAACTACTCTTCCTCACAAAATACACACACACACATACACACACACACACACACACACACACACACACACACACAAACTGTCCAGCAGAAGATGGATGAGCTCCTGTACTTAGGGAGTTGCCCTTGATCTGTCCTGCCTAGAACTCTGCCTGACATGCTGGAAATAACTCAGAGATGTTACTTACGTGGGTAGCAAGGGCTTCACAGACCTTTGCAACCTTTTCTGAATGACTCCACTTTCATAAATTCAGCAATTTCTCCCAGAAGCCCTTTGAGGATAATCCTACCATTATTCTCTATTTGAAACTGAGCAAACCAAGGCCCAGAGATTTGATTAATTTTGCAAAGAGCCTTGAAGTAATAAACTGAAGACTTCAAGGCCCCAGGCAGTCTGCCGCCAGACGGTTGCCTCTTGCTTTGGAACCAGAGGAGCATTTTGGCATCCCCCGAAAGTGTGAGTCATGAGGGTTGCCTTGAAGACCTCCAAGGATGGGGCATCCATGGTAGTGTTCACAATTCAGTCCCTGACCAAGCTTTCCCCAGGCTCTGAGGCCTGGTGCAGTGGGGAGATGGAGGTAGGCCCAATGCAGGGGGAGGGAGCCCTCAGGACTCTTCCCACAGCTGATTCTGGCCTGAGGGCCCCCAGCTGTCTTATCAAACTTCCAGCCTAGATGTTCCCAGGCACGATCCCCGCCTTCATCCACTTGGCCCTCCCCTTGGTCACCAGGCCTTGTCAGCGCTTTGATCCGCATTGTCTCTGACTCGGTCCCTTTTGTACCCGTTCCTTTGTGACAACAATGGTGTAGCCTTGGATCCTCCTTACGGTATGATTTTCTGTCTCCTTCTCGACTCTCCCACAGTTCTCCTCTCATACTTCACCCACCTTGGCGTCTGCTTCCCGGAGGAGCCAGACTGAAGCATTAAAAATTATTTTGTTTATATTTACA